CTTTTTCTCTTCTTCGCGCTTCAACGACGAAGAAGTAGAAGAAGAACGAAAACGTACAAAGATAGATATGATATACGAAAGTGATCGGGGGGGAGAGACCTCTTGCGTTTTCTCTCTCTCTCTCTCTCTCTGTTTCTCTTTCTCTCTCCTTCTCTGTCTCTCGTATATATATTATACTGACAACCAATCAATTGATGTCGAACATATTCGACAAGGGTTTGTAAATCATACCATTTTCTTCTTCTCAACATCATTTTTATTAGTCAATATTTCGTAACACTCAAGCTGCACTGAACCGAAACCATCAACGAGTTAAAACGAACGAATGCGAGAAAGAGAAAAAACCTTGCCAACAAATCAATAAGGACACCTTACTACATCATCGTCTTGTGATGATGATAATTTTCACCAATTGCGTTCTTTTCTCTCTCTCTCTCTCTCTCTCTTACATTTACATTGATAAGTGATTATTGCAATAAAACAAGATATCGATCATTGCCTACATGTCGTGTTTTTTTTCTCTTTCTCTTTTCATTTTTGTCGAATAATTTGTTTTATCTTGATTCGCTCGCTCCCGTTTTATTGCACAACGTTAACCAAGCGTAACCATGCTACTATGTATATGTATGAGATATAGCATCCAATCGTACGAATGCAAGCAAGAGAGAGAAGAAGACGACAACGCCGCCGCAGAGCAAATTGACAAACGTCATAAAGTCTTCTTAATTTTTTTTCTATTTCTTTAACATTGTATCGATCTGTCAACATATTCTTCCGTGTCTTAAATCAATAGGACAGGCGTGCGCGCACAAATGCGATTGCTATTGCTTTACTCAATTCCTCTCGTTAGTGAGATAAAGTATTGCAACCTATATTCAATTTCACTAGCCGCTTCGCCTCATCCACTGTGATGAGTAACAACTGTTGTCGAGTGATAATAGCTTTTCAATCGTTATATCGACACCCAATAAAGTTTCAATGCGAGAAGAAAAAAAAAACGAAACGTAGAAATAAATAAATATATAAATATATATATATATATATACATATACACTTACATGCAGGATTGAACAGACCAAGTGACGACATTGTGATATTCGAGAGAGAGAGGTTAAGCTCTATGGTATTTCTTTAAGAGTGTTAATCACAATAGCAAACAACGCGGCCGTGATTTCGAAATGAAGACGAAGCCGGCTGATGCCATTCTTTCTCTCTATCGTCTGGAATCTTGAATGAAAAAAGAAGAGGAGAGAGAGAGAGAGAGAGAGAGAGAGGACGAAAGAAGTATGTTTTAACTAAAGTTGACATACGGATGCATTATTTCTCACTTTTTAAAAAAAGGGAGAGAGAGAGAGGAAAGGAGCCGAGTCGGAGTAACAAGATGCAATAAAGAAGGAAAAATTGAACGCTTCAACCAAGCGCTCGACGATTATCCCAACAACAACATCATAGTATGTTGCGCTCCTTGCTGAGAATGGGTAGGGAGACGGAAATGTGCTTGAAAGAACTTTGAAAAAAAGTAGTAGTGGTAAAAGAGAAAGTGAGCGCAAAGCGTTTGAAGAATTTTCTTATTGCTCTTTCTTTTCACTTTAGTGTGCAATTAAAGATGGCAACTAACACATACACATATATGCTTCAGCCGGAAGACATTAAAAAAAATGAATTTTCATTTCGAAGACACTTATAAAGCAAACGTAATAATAAGAAAAGGTAGTCGTTGTTGTAAAATCCTAGTGTGTGCTAATCACAGTGTGAAAAGTTGATGGCGGAAGTGCGTGGTAAAAAAAAAGAGGTGACAAATTTATGTGTGCGAGCAATTTTGCAATAGACTACAACTTTCAAAGATTAAAACACGCAACGTTATGGCTCGAAGAAAAATGAACATAACAAATGAATATGACAGACCGGACTCTTGTTTAATTCTCTTTTTTTTTTCCATTTTGTTTTATTCTTACTCTCTAAATTATTCAAAATGCTACGCACACATAGACGCTCGCTCACTAGCTGACAAACGATCTTTCCTTCAATTTTATATGCATACTAGTAATGAACAAGGATTACCTGCTAAAGTTTTATGATCAGCAAAAGAGAAAAATAAGATCCAATTGACAAAAAAGAAAATTGTATCACTAACAGTAGTCCTTCAAACTTGTAAATATCGTAATTGATAATAATAAAAAAAAGGAGAGGTGGCGATTAACCTTCTCTTATCACTTGTGCATCTGCTTTTGTCGTGGATGGATGGATTAGTTGATGTATACGATGTAGAAGAAACGATGATGATGGTTCGATTTCCATTCATATAAGAATAAGAAAGAAAGGAAAAACGCAACATACATACGTCTCAAATCAATAGGAGAAAGAGATTAACTTCTTTTTTTTTTGAAGACGACAATCTGGTGCCTGTACTATGTGTGTGCATGTGCACGGCTGGTGCTCGTCAATGAAATAAGAACGAAATGAGAAAGCAAATATCATCAATATAAGCTAGCAACTAACAAAGAAAAGAAAAGAAGTAGTCAAAGGAGGTGGCCACTCGTCATAGTCGCTTGATTGATTTGCTTCAATTTGTTCGACATGACAAGAATGATCTGACAGACAACATACATACATACATACATGTACTTATTTTGTATGATAACAACTGGTGCATATCATACTCATACAAGAGAATTATATTATTTTTTTTTTATTTTATAGAAAAAAAGAAAAGAAAACAAATATCTTCATGACACAATCTCTAAGATCTACCTTTTTTACGTATATCAATCCTACCGATAAGCTCTTTACTCTTGTTTTGTTTTTTTTACCAAGAAGAAAAAGTGTAAAAAAAACCGAAAGAAAGAACGACAACGACTACTTGCGTATTATCTCGTCTAATCTTGACGTGTATATGTTTACAGAACAACGATTCGTTTTTTTGTCTCTCTCACTCTCTCTTTCTTAACAGATATCTGCAAATTATTTATTTACACTTAACATTAAAACACAAAAAAAAAAAGAAAAGAAAAGAAAAGACTAAATTAAAAACCTTTCTTATCGATTATCCTTTATACATATATGTTGACAATTGAATACATTTATTTTCTAAATAGCGTGACAGATCGAGAAGCAGAAGAACAAACGATTTCTTTTCTCTTTCACACGCATTCGCCGTGACGAGAGACGTACGCATGAAAATTAGGATAATGGCAATTTTGATTATCGTCGTCCAACTACTATTACTACTTATGGTCGCATGTGAAAAACAAATATACAATGATGATAATAATAATAATAATAATAATAATAATAAAGAAAAAAAAACTTCCTTACTTAAAAGACAAAAGAAATAATATTCGCGTCTTGTCAACGGGTAACAACGACAGCAAATTTAAACATCTAGAGCGATAAGCTATCATTAATCTTTGGTAGAATATAAGAACGGAGAGGGTAGCATAAAAAATATTCAGGTGAAAAAAAAAGAAAGATCAAGAGTAAGTGCACCTGTGCTTCTTGTGTTATTATCGTTCTGTATAGATCATTATCCTGTTATACAAAGAATTGGATTAACGTTGTTACCCTTTCATTGACCCAACACTAATGAACATATTCAAATAAGAGAGTAATGAATATATATATATACGTATATATATATTATCGTCTCTCTTCTGGTAAGGCATACTATTTTAATCGATTGAGATGAAGGAGAAAAAAAAAAAAGAAGAAATGGATTTCGGGTAACGATGAAGGTGATGGTGTGTTTGTGTCAAACACATACATACAAATCGCAATCAATTCTAATACACATTGTGCGACGGCCCCCCTCCTTTGCTCGAGCCGAGCGGTAATCACTTTTTTTCTCTCTCCAAGTAGCAGCAACAGCATCAGTCGAGGCGTTGTGTTCACTAAAAATTCATTCTCGCCCGTCGATCGAGTCGTTTTTTCCCTCACCTACTTTCATCATCTTTGTGTTAATCGTCCATTTTTGATAAGACGCTATACTCATTGTCGCTTCAACAACGTCGTCTCGCTACTTTTTCTTTTCGGTCTCTCTCTCTCTCTGTCTTTCATTCTTTTTTTTTGCTGTTCGAGAGTTAATCTAACATAGAATTGAGCACTACCGATTTCTTTCCTTCTCATCATCATCGTCATCATCCTCCTGATTTACGAACCGAATGCATCATATAAGAAAGAGATACTTGTAGCTCGACACCGTTGGCAAAGGTAGATTATACAGAAATGGGAGCGGCAACAATGTCAGTAATAATAGCAGACAGAGCGAAAAGAAAAAGGAATAGAAAAGGAAGTTTAATTGAGCTTTCGCTCACTGAACATAACACTAGTGCATTCAGCGCGATAAGCCTAAGCCGATGTGTAATACATTATAGAAGCAAAAGCATGAAAAGAAAAAAAAACCCGACAAGATGAATTTCCTTGATGAGATTATAAGCTAAATATGTATATGTGTGTCTTGTTCTTCGTGCTTTTTAAAGCAGATTAGTAGTTGATACTGTATATAAGATGTATATTTGCTTCTCAATAGAAAATCATATTCAAATGAAGATAAGTGATTATTATATTTTTAAATGAAGATTTATATTTTAAGAAGTTTGTTTTTTTTTTCTTGATATTTTATTTAATACAAAAAAAAAATGAAAAAATTTTCGATTAATTAATGACTTCTTTTTCTATAAGACTAGAAAATATATTAAAGAGTACATCGGTGAAATTTTAATAGAATACATGATGATCAATGAATGTCAAATAATAGCTTGAAGAAAAATAATGACTTTCATAATCCACTACTCATCATCATCATATACCAGATCTATATAATCTAAGGATTAGAATTATAGGAAGATTTCAAGCTTAATTTGACAAGATTTACAATTTTAACACTATCAATTTGATTCAAATGAATTTTATTAAAAAGAAAAAAGAAAGGAAAACAAACAGGAAATCGTATTAAATAACAAACAAAAAACAATTACTTCACTGTCAAGAACAAACTAAAGATATTAATTTTCTTGCTTAAAAACATTGTGACGAAAAAATTCAATTGTTGAAATCATAATCGCACATGCTGGTGAAACTTTTATTAAACGTGGAACAAGACCTATAAAATGCAAAATATAATACATTTTGTTTCTTTTTCTTCTTTCTTACCTTTATACCAACTACGTATGCCTTGTTTTTTAAACATATGATAAAGAATATGAAGTGTACGATCAGTTGATTGTCCTTGATTACTACCTAATTGAACTTGACGAATTGATTTGATTGTATCAAATGGATGTGTAAAAATAGTTGCTAAAGCACCTGATTTATTGTCCCCCCAAAAAAGCAAAAAAAAAAAATAAAATAAATTATCAAATTTATTATCATACCGGCTGTTGCACCTGAATAAAAAGCAGCTAAGGTTGGTGATGTACCAAATTCTTGCATTATAAGTACTAAAAAATACTTAGTTTAATCGATTAGATTTAGTATTTGAAACAAATGCTTACATTTTAGTCGTTCATACATAGACCAATAAAAAACTATAAAGAAATACAAAAAATAATTAAAAAAAAAATACTAATTGATAACTATAGACTTTGACTTACGAGGAAACATCTCTAGATGTCAAATCTCTTTTCAACCCAGACGATAATCATTTCGTGAGTCATAGAATAGTCTAGAATGGTTTAGTTTTTTGAGCCTTCATTCTTGACATATCGAAATTTTTGTTGAATTTTTCAACAAAAAAGTTGTGATTACATGAAAAATCAATTTTTCACGAACAAAGTTCTTAATGAGATTAGTTCATTGGGTAAGTTTTACTTTTTCTAGTATTGTCTTTTTAGAGACGAACAAAATTTGCTTTTACATATTAGAGAATTTCGAATACTGACTATCTCAGAATAGAAGACATTCAAAAAGTTACTCCTTGACCAATGAACTAATCTCATGAAGAACTTTGTTCGTAGAAAGTCAATTTTTCATGTGACCACAATTTTTTTTGCTGAGAAATTCAACAAAAATTTCGATATCTCAAGAACGAAGGATCGGAAAACCAAACCATTCTAGACTATTCTATTACTCACGAAATGAACATCGTCTCGGTTGAAAAGCGCTTTGGCATCTGTAGAAGTTCTCTCGTTAGTTCTCATGGTTTAGTTATATTTTATAAGTATTCTGGTATTTTGTTGTAATATATCTCCTCCAGACGAACAAAGTCAAAATGAATCTAAGATCATCCTAATTTTATCACACAATCACCATCTTTACCGTTATTCTGGACATGTATGTGTAGACCAGTGCACTGATCTACAGTGAGCACTGTCATCATTATATCCATAGTCATTATTTGATTGCACTTCCTAGTGTCATAAAAAAGAAATATCTCGAGTAAATCAATAAGTCAACATTTACAATGTTTAATATAGAACAAGTTGAGTGAAGTATGTCATGAGATGAATAAAGGGTCTTGTAAACTATGCGATTAACTACGATCACACAGTTGACAACAATGTGAACATTTTATGGAAAAAATCAAAATGATATTTTTTATGATTTGAATAATGTTCAATATTCTTTGAAAAATTTGCCAATTTTTTTATTTAAACAAATGTTATTCTAACTTTTTAACAATTTGAAAAAATCCGAGACACAGAAAATGAAAACTTTGGTTTGGAAAAACTATGCATTATTTCTTAATTGAGGGTTTTAGTAGAAAAAAGAGTTGTTTAGTATAGTTGGTGTGTACACTACTTTAGAACAGTTTAAAACTCAATAGAACTTTCACAAAATGTTTTTCTCTATTTGATACATCTACTCAGTTAGCACATAGAAATAGCGATAAAGGATGTCCTACAATAACTGAGAATGAAATGTCACACTTGACATTAGATCTTACGAGGGAACATTTCCAAGTGTCACATAGCGTTTGAGTCGAGAGTGTGAGCATCATATAGGCCCTAATGATCTATGAATAACCTGAAAAAATTTCGTGCTGCTAGCTTATTGCTGTCGAGATATTATATTTTTACGATGTGTTTTTAGATGAATGCCGTGGTCCCCCTCGGAAACACTAGAAAAAATGATTTTCGAATTTAGACTTGAAACTTTACATAGAAACAGNCAACTTGCAAAAAAATAGTATGAAAAATGTCATTGACAATTTATTATCAGTTATTATGCAGTAACCCTAGATATCATATTTATAATAGATCTACACATCTTACGAGGGAAGCGCCTCAAAGTGTGGGAGTCAGGTTATAGAACTCAATAAGCTTAATTATAATGGCATAAAATATTCTTTCCTATAGAGTCTTTCTGAGAAATAAGATCTATTCAATTTCATAAAATTAACTGTTAATTTTTATTTTGAAAATATTAATTTTTATATAAGTCTGAAATAGATGAATATTATAAGTCCATATTATTAATTGATATTGAAATATTCAATGTAAAAATTTCTATTTATGTTGATTATGTACAATTAATCAAAATTTCTGCAAATAACAATTTTCGAACCATTTTTCTAATATATTTAAGATCAATTTAATTCTTCACAAGATATTCAATGAGAAAGAATGCTTTATTCCATTGTAATCAGCTCATTGAATTCTACAAACTGACATAAAGTCGATTAAAAACAGAGATACACACACATGGGAATCTTCTCTCAAGAGATATACCGATCTATCATAAATCAGATATAGACCTATTTTTAAGTTATCATGAACGATAGAGTCTAGTTGTATGAATACTGATTGTATTTCAAGGTATTCGTGTACTACGCAAAATTGTCTAGGTCAACATATAATCCTATATGTTGAAGTATAGATTTAATTTTTAATGAATGATTCGGATTATCCAGGATTATTCGTGATTTTTTTATATGATTGCATGGTTTACAATAGACATGCATCAGTCTCAATTCGAATGATTACTAGTGTCCCATTAGATATAAATTTTAAATAGTACCTATTCAGATTGAATATGATTTCGAATGACTTTGATACATATATCTAGTTTACTAGAGTTCAATGACAAGATTAATAAAATCTTTATCATTATATTTAAAATGTTAAGTATTATATTTGTTAAAAAAAACTAATAAATATTTATGTTTAAATTTAAAATAATTTAATTTTTAATTCATAGACAAATATTTTGAATGATGAATTTAAAAAAAAAGAACTTCATTAATATTAATTGATAATCATTTTTTGAAATTTGAAAACTTACTACTAAATGGTATATCTCTCCAAAGAGTTGGTATAAGTCCTCTCCATAATGTTCGTAAACCATTTGATTGAATTGATTCTCGTAATAAATTATGTAAATCACTATAAGATAATTTTGCTGACATTTTTTTTGTTCTTATTAATTCAAATGGACTTGTAACAATCACGGCTAATATTCTTGCTAAACCTCCAGCTATTCCAGGTAGAATTGGATTTAAATTATGTCTTTTATAACCCATAAAACATTTCAACTGTTCATATGCTGTAAAATAAATAATTGTATTAGGTAATGACATAACTAATGTTGGTGGTAAACCTGACCATAATGATCGAATACCTTCACTACGTGTTATCTAAATATAAATAAAACTTAATTAATCAAATCTAACGAATAACTTACTTTAAATAGAGCATCAATTGTACCATTATATTTTCCTGGTATTGATCGATTATACCACGGTACAGTTTCATGTCCATTAAAACAAGTACAAATATAATCACCGAGTCCATTACGAAATACAAAACAATCACCTTTAACTAATTGATGATTTTGTGACTGAAGTCGTATTCTAACAACATCAAATGGTGTCTAGAAAAAAATAATTAATTGAACAACAATAATCTAGACTATATATTCTACCATAAATAAAGCTGTACACATAGCTGCAATTGATGTTGAAATAATTTGTTGAACAGGAAATACAAGACATTCATTTTTATTTATACTCATCTCTATAATATGTACAAATTTTTGAGTGAGAAAAAATGGCTCTATTGTTATTTATTTTTCATCATTTTTTGAGTTTTTTTTTTTTTTATAAAGAAAAAAATAACAACAGACACACAAGAGAAGGAGAGAGAGAACACATAGAAAGGATAAATAATGACAATAATCTTATAATACCGGGTTTTCAAATAGAAATCCGGCCATATTATTTCTACCATTATCTGACAATTGTGTGCTTCGTGCAAAAAGAGCTTGACAGAGTATTTTGATTCGCATTTTGTGTTTTTTTTTCTTCTTGTATTGCTTGGTGGGTTCATGCATTCTATTAATCGCACACAAATAGTCATCACAGATGCAACAAAAAATGACAAACAAACAAACAAAAAACGTGATAATCATAATTGTTTTGAGAGAAAAAAAAGCAAAAGGTTTTAATGAATAAACAAAAAAAAAAAAAAAAAAAGACTTAGCGTAATATGAGAAACTATAACAAAAAAAGAAAAGAAAAGAAAAAGGAAACGAAAAAGAAGCGACAACTTTGTGATTAATCGCACTTGCTTTATGACTATATGAATAGATAATAAAATGAAACTATTGCTAATAGTAATGAACTTTTTCGGTCTTTTGCGCCCAAGCAAAATCATCTGAACGCGGTTTTGCGCCTGTATATTTCTCAACAATAGATTCAAGTCGAGACCAGAATTGAATCATTTCGAGCGGCCAATTCAACCAACCAGTTGTAACTAAATATTATAAAAAAATAAAAAATTATTTTTATTTATTAGAATATATACTTACTGCAAAAATAGGTATCGTGTGGTACGACTAAATATAGAAAACAAAAGTCAATGAAATCTTTTAGATTATAGTCTAATAGATTTAAAGATTTTTGCAAAATTATTTCAATTCAAATACGAACATCATCCGTAGAATTTCATGTTTCAACCTGGATGTAATTACGCATTTATAATGCATAATTCTCAGATCCGTCGTGTAGATAAGTTTTATTTACGGTTCACTGGTTCGTCACGAACTTGCAGAAGAAATGAGTACTTACCAGCTTATATGCTGCTCAGGGCGATCTCTTTTCTTCGATTGCTTTGATAACATATGTCTAGGAAAGTTATTGAAAAAAATAGATGAGAGAAAAAGAGACTGCCCTAAGCAACATATGTGCCAGTATGTGATTACTTTTTATGCATGTTCCCAGTCAACAATTGAATCGTAAATGAGACTCATTTTCTAGTCGTTCCGAACATATGAGATACTTTGCATTTATTATTTCTATTTTGCTGATAACATATTTGACATATCTATGAAAAAGTCTTATACTAATTAAGTTATAATTGGCTGTTAGTTTTATAGTATGATCCGTCTCGAATCCGGTATCAATCGGATGAGCTCTACCCGTAAGCCAATTAATAAATTGTTTATGTTTGAACTGAAGTAATTTGTTTTTTTTCTTCATTCAAACGTAAATCAGAATATTAAAATTTTATATTCAAATACTGATCATATTAATAGAAAATGAAGTTAGAAGTTAGATTTTTCCAAATCAACATACCATGATGTAATCGATGATGTTTACGAGGTAGAATTATATGATAACGTTGTAGAAAAACTATATAACTAGGTAAACCAAAATAAGTATGCGACCATTTATGAAACTAAGAATAAAATATACAAAATATATGTATAAAAAAATAAATGTGTTCTTGTAATTGATTTACTTGATTAGTCATTGAAACAAATATAGCTAGAAGAAACATATAAACTTCGAAATTATATATTCGTCGTATATCGGTATCATTCCAATATGTAAATTTATAAGTCATATATAAAAGATAAGGAACAGTAACTGCAAAATTGTCACCATTAGTTTCAATAAAATCATGACGTGTTATTGATGTTGGATCAATATGATGTTCTCGAAATGGACGCAAAAAATTTCGACCAATAAATGGCATATCAACTGAGCCCCATGTGTCTGCAGACCAATGAACAATACCTGATGCTAAGTCTGCTGTTAAAATACCAAGTACTAAAAAAATTTATCAAAAATAATCAAATTATAAAATATTATTATTATTATACATACAAGCTGAAGGAATGATAAGATACCAATTTCTCATATCAAAATAACGACAGATATAGAAAAAATTATAGACCATAAATATAATGCATAGAATAATTGAGATTATTTCTTGAATACGTTTTTCTAAATTTGAATAAATAATATTCAATTATTTAAACATAAAGAATTTTTTTAAACAATATAACGAATAGATAAAGAAACAAATGAAATTCTTTTCAAGCATTTTAACTTTTTCTCTCTAACGAATCTTTATTTATGATCGAAATAATTATTAATATAGAAGAAAAATATTTAATTACCTTTTGTATATTGACCAGCAAGAATTTTTGCACCAGCATGTTGCGGTCCCCAACGAATTTCTCTCGCATCATGTAATGTATTACCATTTGGATCATCTTCAGGCATAGAATTTTTAGCAACAAGTATATCTTCTGAAGATAAATCCTCTTGTAAATTATTTTCCATCATATCGTTACTTTTTGATGTTGTTGCAGATAATGCTGAATCTAAAATAGAAAGATTCTTGTTTTATGATTGTTTATTTTAAAATAGACTAATCATTATGTACCAGTGGTCGACGCCGAACAAGAATGTGAAATTGTTAATGATGAAAGGCACATACGTTGTTATTGTTGTTGTTAGATGAGTGATTAGAAATGTATGTGTCAAATCGAATTATGAGAAAAATAATAATAAATATAACGATACCACCATCTTTATTTCGGCGATCGGACGTTAATCTCAGGGAAAAAAACCAAAGAAATGAACATTAATTTACTTTGAGTAAAAACAAAAAAAAAAAAAAGGAAAAGGAAAGAAATTTTTAATGATGAAGTAACAGATTGTTAGTAAGTCTTTGGTTACCTAGTCACACACCTTCTGAATATTTTTAATTAACTGGAAACAATAATTATCTAAATGAAATCAACTAATACACATGCATATATAAACATCCCAAAAGATTCTAATTAAAGATAGCACCAGTCATATATATATTTATTCAATAAGCACGCCGTGTTTTTTTTTGTATTTTGCGACTCTTTTTTTTTTTTTCTCTCTCACTTGTGAAAATGCCTTTTAATCGGAAAAAATGCGAATAGTACAACTATACTCTAATGGCTCGAGGCATCTATATGGTTGGTTGCAGTAAAAACTTGCGCGCAAGAATACCGGTGAAGTTCCTGATGCAATACACGTCTACCAGCCATTGCTCGTTCTTATTTCCTTCATCATGTTCTTTTCTTTCTTCTTTTCTTCTTCTTTAATGTGGACAAAAGGGCACTCTCGCACTTCGCACTAATCTGTCTTCTTTTTCCCGTTGTACTATACCCGCATAAGAAATATATGGAACAGAATGGCACTATCATAAAACACGCATCTAACAGACTAATATAAGTTTTGCTACAATATTACTTTGACAATACAAAAGAAAAAAAAATATAAGAAAAAGTGAATAAAGACGATTGTCTTTCATGCATATCTGGAATCTTTAAACTAGTTATCTTTAGTATGATATAATTTGTAATTTTATGGGTGCATTAATCTTATTTATTGTTATTGTTTAGTTTCTTCTCAATTATCACTTATTTTGTAAAGACAAGCAAGTCAAACCAGAAAGACTGGCATAAGAAAGAAACAAAAGAAATAAATAATAAAGAACTAGACTGTAATGAAAGGAAAAAAAATTATGAACGAGAAAAAAAAATTGTAGCGTGATTTATTGTGTTGATGTATGAATCAAAAAAAAAAAAGAAGAACAAGAAGAAGAAGAAGAAAACAAATATGCAAAAAATACCCCCTATCAATAAGATATTCTCGTAATGTGTGCACTTTGTCAAAGTCCAAAATGCAGGAGTATATGTTTGTGCAACATAGAATATGCCAGAAACAGCAAAAATACGATGAAGAATGATGACTGTTAAGACTAACTAAGTTACGCTCGTTTATTTCTCTTGTTCTTTATTTCTTTTGGACCATTTATAAGCTAATTAGACCTACCAATTAGGTTGTATTTTTAGCTTCTTTCGTCAACTTTTACCAAATCAAATAATAAATTATAAAGAATTTCCTTTAAAAACTTTTTAGTCATTCTGTTGATTATTTGAACAAGAGAATGAATCGATTATCTTGTTCGATATATAGATGGCGTTAGTCAACAATTATAAAACTAGACCTTATCGATGCCTAGACAAATATAAACAAATACATGCTTCTCTTCTTGACTTGTTGAGCTGAAAAAGACAATCAAAATGATTCGATTCAGGTTCGGATCAGCTGCTCGTGCCGCACATCTATTGGTACCACTACCGGCATCAATATCTAACACATATACTGGACACTGGACGATATATCGGCAATAGATAATTGCCGGTCAGAGAACAACTATCGGTATACCGCAATAGAATGATAGTCAAAAAATAGCAAAACATAGTGAATCGCAAAAAAATTCGACTAGTAGATAAAAAGTACCTGAAGTTTAATCCATTAATTTCATAGTTTGAAAGTAAACACAACATGTTGAACTCTAATCACAAGAACTAATTAAGACTTGATCGACCTTCATACGAAGGAGCTAGAAAGCCAACATAAAAAAACAAATTTCATGACATTAGATCCTTAATTCGACATTTCAATACTGCCTCTATCATCAATAAAAATTCTATGCCAAACGATTTTAGTTTGCCTGATTTATGAAGTACTCTTTGAATAATCTCCATATCTGAGTTGATACGAATTGTAGAAGGTGACCCATATCTCCGGCTAATTTTAGCCATTTACCTTGCAGTTTTTTCAGTAAGTCCCCTGCTCTAATCATGTTTTCCTTCAAAATGTCATAATCATCAATGAAGAAGAAATCCATGTTGTGACTGATCCAAATAATGGAAATTAACTCATTGAAGTTTATCGGAAACTCATCGCATTAAGATCGTTCAATATCGGGTTGCTGCTTGCCATCAAAGTTTATGTCATTTATACTCTGCAGCGAGACTTCTTGTGACAACTGTAAATATCGAACTGCCACCGGTATGGCGGACATTTTGGGAGTACAGACATATAATACGTAGTACAATAACCACAAACATCCGAACAGTGAAAGGACGCCAGTCATCTCAGTCCTGACGCATAGGAAAACATTGGAGCATCAAGGTTTGAAATCAATAATTGACTGATACAATGATCAAGCCTTTCAAAAAATGCAACTTTTCAATCCGATAGAAAGTAAAAATAATGTAAGAGATTCACAGTTCTTTTTTTCCCGTTATTTAGTATTTAATTAGAAACATTGATAAGTACAACAGCACTGAAACAAATTGATATTTTCATTGATTTTATACTATTGCACGATCATGAAAGAGTTAAAATTTCTTACAAAAGTTATAAGTAAAACTCGTGATTTATGTTGTCAGCGGCGTAACCAGGATTTTTAGATCAATGAACAAACTTCTCTGGTATCGGAAAAAAAACGATGGGCAAAATGGGCAAGGTTTTTAATGATAGACCAAAAAACTTTTTTTGGCCCAACAAAATACTGATAACGTAAAAAAAAACCACAAAAAACTGAAATGAAGTCCTTTTAATCAAATATGCATCAAATCTAGATCTTAAACCTGAGTCAGGTGTGTTTTAGTCTATTATTAATATCTCTGTTTATAACATTTATATTTCAAATTCAAACACCAAAATCAAGATGTATATATATCGAAATCTTTATGAATGTGTACAGCAGCAAGTCTGTTTAGTTCATTTTGTTTCATTGTTGATCGACAATAACTTTTAATTCTCAATAATTGACTGCAGTGTTCGACTCGGGTCGGGTCACTAACAGTTGACCGATTTCGAACTTTTTTATAAGATAAATGGCAATTTCAAATATTGAGAGAAGCTATATAGATACGCTGAAAAGATTGTTAAACTGTGAAAAAGACTCGTTTTTCTTGGCAAAAAACTATCTTCGACCTCGGATCGGGTCACATCACGAAAAATTGACCCATGTTGAACACTGATTGACCGAAACTTCTTTCAGCAGAAGTTGTTGATAGAGGCAATGCTGCGAAGAAAATTAGTAAATAACGAGCATTTGGCCTTAACATGGTTAGTATTTTCCCAATAAAACTCAACTCACGTTCATCCAAACTTACAGTTAAAATACAAGAAGTAATTATTTTCTGTTTCTTTTCTTAATTCATCACAGAAAGAACAAACAAAGAGTGCATGTGTGATTCAGACAGAAGAAAGAAACTACAGTTATTATTTAAGTCAAAATTAAATAAACAATTCTGAAAAAGTAAAATTTCAATGGACAAATCTCCAAATAAACCGAGCAATTGTCCATTTGCCCCCCTCCCCCCGCCGGCTGGCTACGCTGCTGCATGGTGTAGTTCATTCTAAATCGAAACCTTACACTTCTAGCAATGAATATTCATAAACTCCGTATGTAGTTGTTCAACCAATACACTGGCTTCGATAGTAAAACTAATCGATTGAGCTTAAGTATCTCATTAGGGAAACATAACAGGTATTCCAGAAGAAATGGCGCTAATCTCAGTGCATTTTTCTCTCTTTTCTTAATAATAAAAAAATGCACTCTTGTGTCTCAAGAGAGAGAATTTCAAGCATTACATAGTTGTTGACTTTGTTTTGTTTTCAATGAAGTTTCCGGTGAGTTTTCAACTATCTAACGAAATTCTCCTCAAAATTCTGCATCTCTGGATGAATGTTTCACAATTTTTGAAGACATTCTGGGAGCAACAATTTTCAAGTAAAACAAGAGCCAAAGTATTGGAAAAATTCTCTTTCGGGTAGATCTAAGCTATCATTGTTTTCTAATTAAAAGAACTCTAAATATCTTCACAGTTCAATTAAAATCTTTACATAGTTTTGTTCAGAGAATTAAGTTCTATATCCTATAGCAAAATAATAAACCTTTAATAGAGCAACTCACACTTTTGAGTGCATGATTTTACTAAGTGTACTCAGATATATCGACAGTTGCCAGTTCCAAGACTTTCTCTCTAGCGGTTCGAAAGCGAAGATTTTTTGGCATTTTCGAAAGATTCATATATGCCAAATAATAGGACGTCATGAACTTACTATTGATACATATAAACGTTTTCATTCAAAAGTATTTATCGCAAAACTCATGTATTTTGTGTGTTGTGAAGTCTCGAGTAATTGACCATGACGCACACTAATTCAGAGGATAATCAATTAGTATACTTATAGAGCTTGATGGCCCACAAGTTCTGCTGAAGTTCCGCGATGAGTCACGTTTGTCCTTGAAAACAGTAGAGAGGAATTTAAAACATCATAAAAGTCAAAAAGTTCAAAAAAACTAGTAAAATTGCTGAGCATTTGGGTACGAAGAAAGTCATTGTGAGAATTATTAGATATATACGATTGAAGACCAAGACAAAGCTTGTTAGCGCAGTCCCTTTGGGGCTGAAATGTAGAACTCACATATGCTCTCTGATCTCATTAAGCTAATATAAAATACTTGAAGTGATAAATCTCTCGTAGACTATAGCTGTTTTGGAAGTATACTGAGTCCTAATTTTTTTGTCATATCACACATAATTGCTAAAATATCTCTTAAGTGTTATATTGTTTCTCACAACATTAAAATTTGATGAAAAAAGCTAATTCAAATTGCACCACAACTTACTATACCAAACGGTGTAGGTAGTTTTCAAGTTTGAAATTTTATTTGTTAACATAAAAGAAATTTTTTTATGCTTTGGAAATAAGAGAAACAAACAATAAGATTTATTGCAATTTATAATCTTGAAACATATAAAACTGAAAAAAAAAAAGATAATTTTCTCGAAACTACAAACTAAACTGTACGATTCATTCATATTATTTTTATAAGTTACTATTCCCATTTATAATGTATAGAAAGTTTCTATTGTTCATATACAACAGTAGAAAAACACTAGTCATATTTTCTTTTTTTCTTCATTCTTTTCCCATAGAGAATACAAAACTAATAAGCAATATTCCTTTTTGAAAATATGATCAAATAAATGAGTAATTTTTTTTAACATTATCTTTTTCTTTTCTCTATTTCTTTATTTTGTGTTACGAAAAAAAACATAACTTTTTTTTTCAATTTCCGGTCTTTATTTAGCAAATATGCGTGATATAGGAAATAAAGTTACGTAAAGTTAAGTATATATTTATTTATTTTTATTTTTATATATATATAGAATGCAATTGTTTCATAGACATGGTATGTGACACCTTTAAAAAAAAAAGTAAAAAGTTTGTCTCATGGGATAGAAATATGCAATATGTGTGTGGGTGACGATTTTCCATTCGTGTTTTCTTCTTTTTTTTTTTTGTAAATGAGCAAATATAGGCTTTTTCTTACTATTGATTAGACCAGAGAGAATCTATACACGAAAGAAAAATAGTTATTAAAAAAAAGAGAAAGTCAATAGCTGTATGTAAGAAAAATGAACGATTGTGTAAAATATTCCTACTTTGTAGAAATATGAATTCATCGTCTTTTATTATTACTCGTGTTCGTTTTTCAATTGGTCTTCTTATTTTGTGGAGTTTACTTTTCTGTCAATTTCCTCGACCTGTTCAAACAATTGCTCTTGGTCAACTGTGTGGTCGATTTGGACATTCGTGTTATGGAGGTAAATATTTTTTTTATTATAAAGATTTACTATTAAATAAAACTTTTAGGCAATTGGGGTAAACGTACTTTACCAAATGATTTATCAGAACAATATGTTTTATGGAATCCGAATCTAAATAATGAAGAAATACCAGTTTTTCCTGTAATCGATCGTAATTCCATGAGTAATAATATTTTAGAAGAACTTCAATCGGTAATTACAATATTTAAATTAAAAAAAAAAAAAAACCATAAATATAGATTATAATTTTTTTTTTGTTTTTCTTTCTATTTTGTATATATAGGAGTTATTGCGACAACGATTACGACAATTATTGGAATTGGAATAATATTGAATAAGACGTTCATTAAAAAGAAATTAAGTTCATGTGTATTTTTATTTGTTTGAAAGAATAATATTTATTTGGTGTTCAAACATGACTATTTGTATTAAAGAGCATGAACATTGAATAATTTTATATCACAATACAAATACTTCAACAAGAAAATCCTATTCAGCCATAGCTTAAAATTTAAGTATATTTAATCCTCATATGACTAACGTTGATAATTGACATACGAATAGAACATTAGATAAAAAATGAAATTTTCAAGAAATGCGTATATTCGAGAAGAACCTAAAGTATTCGTCATCAATGAATGGTTCAATATCTAGTCAGTTTTATTAATATTAGACATGTATGCTATTAGAGCCAATCGTAATCCTTTCATAAACATTAAAAGAATAAATTGATGATATAAACGCTATAATGATATAGAGTGGCGAACAAAAGTTTAGCACAATTGTATTTTTTAAATTTCCTTCTCGACTAGAAACAATCTGAAAAAAAAACATTTGAGTAACTAAAAGAAGTCTCTATCAGGATTGATGAATCTAAACATTGAAAAACCTAGACTTCCAAAACCAATTTTTCTCGCATCCATTTGAAGCTTTTTGGAAATGATTTCATTTGATAGAGCAAAATGAGATATCTTTCGCTCTCATCATCGAACTGCATCTAATTTTCAGACGACTCAAGAAGCAGTTTTCTATTGTTTTTATGAGAAATTTTGATGATTTCGTCGTGTTTAACTTTTTGAATAAAACCATTTCCGAAAAGCTTCAACTAGATGCCAGAATATTGGTTTTCAAGACATCCTCATTTAGGCAGTTTTATTGAGAATTCTAAGTTCATCAATCTTGACAGAGAATCATTTTTCCTAGTTGTTACTATCGAAAAGATCAAATTTTCAAAGATAAGGCTTTCAGAAAAACAAAGACGTAGTTTTTAAGTACTAAGAACCTTTGAATAGAGTGTCACTTTGACTACATAGAACAATAGAGAAAACACGTTTCTACAAAATGAGACACCTGCGAATTCTCTTGGACGTTTTTTGACTGAGATACAACAATATTACGGAAGCACCTCGAAGCGTTTTTTTTTTACCATTCTTCATAAAAAAAATTATTTTTGACCGTTCAATCAAATTGCTGTATCTCAGCTAAAAAATATCATAGAACAACTAGCAAGTTTCCATGCCATCAATTGGTAAATAAATCTAGGCATTAAATATCTCATTTCATTGTACAAAAATCATCCAAAAGAGAAACAATCTTCAATAACATGATGACAAATATTCAAAGTAAATATTCATATATCGATTCTCCAATTAACTGTATTCAATGCGTGTTTGAAACAGAGGTACGCCTATCATAGAATACACGATTTCTATCATTCAATTGCAGATTTAATTTGTTAAATGTAATCCGATGGCATAATCTCTAGGGTGAGCGTGACAATAGAGAAATAATATTTTCAGAAACAAATGGTTACAAGCCTATCTTTTAACATACATATGATTATATCTCACGAGAAAAGAATCATGAGCACGAGCGCTCCTAGAATGTCCAAATAATATTCTTCGCTTGAGTTTAAATTGTTGCTGTAAGACTCTGCAAAACTAAAAAGATTCGTCAAATTATAATTTCTTTTAGGATTAATGACCGTTTTAATGAAATTTCAATCTGAAATTTCGCTTACAAAATAGGTCCCATCGTTACTAATTATGTTTTAAAAGTTTACGTCAAAGCAAATCCTTCCGTCTTGAAATGTTAAATATTGAGGAAAGGTCGATTTTGTGACCTAGTTTGTGAATCATAAACGTGTTTTGAGCATTCTAGTAGTCATGGTATAGTACTCACTCCAGAAACCTTTGAATAATCTATCATTAAAATTGAAGAGTAAATTATTTTCCAGTTGCAGCGGAGCTCAATCCTCTAGAAATTTAGCTGCACTTCGCCACGTCTGTATGATCTATTTACTAGTGAAAAACTCCTCAATTTGATTTTTCTATATATATAGTTTTACAAGAGATTGATAATCTAGTAGTACAGTAATAACTCCGAATCAACGGTCTAATTGAACAAATTCATTTAAACTTTTTCTAGTCTCACAGCACTCTATTTATTACAAAAAAAAAAGAGTTCAAGGGTGTTAGAACAATCTATTTCATGACATATTAATCTAAAATATCCTAGAGAAGCATCGAGAGTGTACCAGGTAGGGTATACACCGACATTCATAGATCCGCGATGAATAATTCTGTCACCCATTCGAAGGCACTTTGCTCATCAGTGCAACTGTTTTGAATTTAAATTGAGGTTTTCGTCATTGGCATCCGACTTATTGAAATACGATTATGATTTATAAATGTATTATGTCGAATTTCATATAATTGATCAAAACATTGATTTAAAACAAAAGTCATTTTTTTATTAATTACAATGAAATAAAACAACAATAATATTTGTGCAATTCATTAATGAAAACAATATTTGCTTTGTCTTAAGTAGAAAAAAAAAATCGTTCATTTAAAATTAATCATCTATGATTTTATTTGACATCACAGATTTAATTGCTTTTCGACATGCATCAGCCTTTGCCATTTTTTTATTTGCTCCATAACCTTCAAATTGACATCCATTTGCTGTTTCAACAATATAAATAGATATTGTGGTTTCTTTATCAGTATCAGTCTTAGTAGTTTCTCTATTTAGAAAATAGAACAAAATATTTTTGAAAATAATTAAAAAAAAAAACACGAAAACTTACGAAATAACTTTTCCACCTTGTTCAAAAAATGTTCGTACCGGATTTAGATTTGGATCAGTAATTGATCGATCTATTACATTCAAAAATAAAATAAATAAATAATTATTTTTTTTTTATAATTGATTCTATTGATATACTAACCAATATATTGTTGAAGTAAAGGTTTAATAACATTCCAAACAGTTTGTAAACATTTGTCAGAATCAAGAAATATAGCTCCAACTAATGCTTCAAAAACATCAGCTAAAGCTTTAGGTGCCGTTGAATCAGCCCATTGATCAATATCCTAAATAGAGAAATAAATAAATTTTTATTTCTATTAATAAAATAATCATATTTTACTTTGCTTAGTTGATTATAAATTGATGAATCTTTTGGAAATAAATCATTATCACCAGCATATACTGATATTTTACCAAATAAATCTGGTGAATTATGAAGAATTTTTGTATGAAGACGATATGCAACTAAGATATAAGCTAGACGACCATTATTTGATAAATCTTGTCGAATATCTGTTACTAGACCTATAAAAAGAAATCAATAATATTTTCTAAAGTATTTTTTGTCTGTTAAGAATTTTGTGTAAAAATTAAATTCTACAATAGAATGATTGAAAGTCGAGGTTGACAGAATTGGAGAAGGGCCGATGACTCAGAAGTTGAGTCCTATGGGACAAACTTTTTTTGTATATCGTAAAATTTTGTTGATCGACAAAATGGCTGACTGTAAACAGTGCAATAGCCGACTTCTTACTTTTCCTTCATTAAGCTGTCATGACAAATTCTGCTCGATGCATTAGTCACGACTGAAATCAATCAGTTGTTCTTTACATCTAATCATCGTTTCTAAATGATGAAAAATTCTGCTGAGAGCAGCATGACACGTGCAAACCTGAAATCCATTTTGTAAAAAACTTAGTTTCATTCGAAAGTTATAAAAATACGGAAAACAATAATTAATAACTGAGAGTTTTCTTTATACGGTTATAGATGACTCAATCTGAAAAAAAAACATTGATATTTCAAATGTTATATACAATAGTTTCCTTATATGCCAATAGTTGGTTTAGTTTCATTATCTCCTGACGAGGTAACCTATTGAGGTGTTAAATCACTTTACGGTCAAGACCATGTTCATCCCGTAAGTAATAGAATAGTCTAAGATGGTTTCGTTTTCTAAGCCTTCGTTCTGGTTCCTTTTACACATGAGACAATTTCGAATATTGAATGTTTCACAATAGGAGATAGTAGAACAGTTACAACTTGCTCAATGAATTAATCTCATTGAGAACTGTGTTCATCGAAAGTTAACTTTTCATGTGACGACAGTTTTTTGTTAAAAAAAAAACAGTAAAATTTCAATATTTCAAGAATGAAGACTCGAAAAAACAAATCATTTACAATACTAATATTGAGTTAAAATTATTCGAAGATACAAACTGAGAACTATGTCAAAACGGTTATTTTACTTTGTATAGACACATTAATGATTTTTTACCTGGTGTAATATTTGTATTATTAACAAAAATATGTCGTGTAACAAGAAAATCCAATACAGCATCACCCAAAAATTCTAATCTATAGAAAAGAATTTCAAAGAAAAAAAAAAATGAATATTTTTTAAAACATAGAATATTACCTTTCATAACAATTTGTAAGACGATTAGCAAAACTTGATGGATGAGTAAACGCTGCAATAAGATAAGCTTTATTGTTAAATTTATAATTAATCACATTTTCAATATCATAAAATTCTTGGTCTCTATAAAATTTATCAATAATTTGATTGATTTCATCAATTTTATTACATGAACAGAGAATCGATGGTATTTCCATAATATGATCTAATTTAAAAAAAAAAAAACAAAAGAAAAAAAATTCGAATAAAAAATCTTCTTACTATTTTCATCTAATGGAATAACATCAAGACCTAACCATTTCATAAATTGAATTGTTATTGTATAATCTGTTGAAATTAAAAAAGCACCAATAAATGCTTCAATCATATCAGCAAATGCTTTTCGTTTAACATATTGATTATTATATCGTTTTAAATTTAGTACATTTTTATTATTTTTAATTTGTTCTATATCATTAATTATATATCCAGGTGGAAGCCAATTAGCATCTTTACCACGAAAATTAATTTTCATAACATTTAAATAAAGTTTTAATTTTTTTTCAATAGCTATTCGATAAAGATTTTCATTCGAAATTTGTTTAGCTTTTTCAATAGTTAATGCACCAGCACTTGCCAATGGATAACGATGATAAAGTGACATTGATACTGTTAATTTAAGAAAACAATCACCAAGAATTTCAAGATTTTCCATATCAGTTTTTTCATTAGCTGAACGACGTGTTATAGCTTGAAAAAGAATATCAGGTGATGGTTGTAATTTTGAAAAAATTGATGGTGAATTATTATAGATTAAAGAAATAAGTGGTAATAACTACGAGAGAAATTAGTTTGATAGAAAATAATAAATTCGATTAGTATGATTTTTTTTTTTTTTGCAAAATTTTACCGATAGATTTTTATTAGTTCTAAGATTATCATTGAAAGTTACTGTCGGCATTTGATCAGCATCGAGTAACTAGAAGAAATTAATTTATAATTTGATGTATTATAATAGACAACTCAAAAGACTTTTTTTGGTCATGATTCATACATTTCTGGATGCTTTATCTTCATAAGTCCGTCTCTGGATTAATGATGATTTTTCGTCTTTTTTTTTTCTGGAATTTATGTCTGTTTATTTTTAATTCTCTCTCTATGGTTAAAATTTTAGCTTGATCACTTGCATTATCTGCGAAAACCAAAAATGGTCAAAAAAGAGGCAGAGTACTCTTAATAGGATTAAAATACCATAACATAACATTTGTGTATACATTTTCATTAAGTTCTCCAGACAGTGTTTATACAATAGAGCATAAAACATTTTTTCATATCTATCAATATTTAAAGGGCATACATTCTGTAACAGCGCATATGATTCAAATCGTCGGTATACTGATAATCAATTAGTCTAGAAATGCACTAAACCTTCCTCAAATAAGAAAATAGAACTTGAAAATTTCGACAAATCTTTAGTTGATTTTTTATATAAATTTAGCTATTTTTTTGAAATGACCTTTCCGACCATCTATCATGCATTTACTGTAGTATCCATAGTTGACTATATTTTTATCGCGATATACCGTTGATTCTTATCAATACTGAGATATGGCGAACAAACATGCAACATAGATTAAGATATATGAATCTTACCGAATAATATTTAATATTATCAGCAAATAATTTTCGCAGTCGTTCAATTCGATATAATTGTGAAATACGAACAAGAATACTTGGTAATTTATAAATTAATTCAAAATCTATTTTATTTAATGGAGCATAACAAAGAAGTTCTATTGGATAATGAACTGGTTGACTTTCTGAATCAGTTGTTTCTTTATCGGTATTAATTGATGTTTCTATTAAATAATTAATTCTTGCTTTTTTAACTCCTTTCATTGTTACTAAATATCTATCTCGTCGTATACGAAGATCTGATACTTTGTATTCAAAATAATCTGCATATGTTTTAATATCTTCCGATATTATTTTCTGATCCCATGAAGCTGATGCTTGTTTTAATAAAGAATCATCTGATACATGCATATAAAATCGTTTTTCTGGTAAATGACTTGGATAATAGAGTTCAGTATTATTTAATTCAGAATTATTTTGAATAAATTTATTTTTTCGATTACAAATTATTGTCATTCGATTAAAATCAATATCACCTGATTCTATTTAAAGATTAGAAATATTTAAAAAAAAAGTAATCAACATAAATTTCTTAAATAAACATACTTGTTAATAAACAAGGAAGTAATTGAAATGTTGAATTTTCGATGTCAAATTTAAGAATTGTATTTGTATTCATATCATCAAATACATATTCAAATAAATATTGACAAAAATCTTTTAATTTATTTTCATATTGTTCATAATTAATAGATTTTAAATAAACAACTTCTATTATCGTTATCTTATTATTTTCATAAAGATTAAATCTAGGTAACTAAATATTCTATTTTATTATAAATTATTTTATAAACTAATCTTACTTTTATTAATTCATAAGGAACAACAAAACCAAGTTCATTATTAATTTGATAAAGATGCCAATTAGTTGATAATTGATCAGTTTTCAAAGGAAATTTTGTAATCTTAATTAAAATGAATAAATTTTTTTTATTTATTAAAATAAATTTTTTTACATGTTTGGAAAATGTTTCAAAAGAACTTTCAGATTTTTTTTCAAATAATTCATCAACTAATTGAAATATTTGATTTTCAATTTTTATATCAATTTTTAATAATGTACGATTTCGATTTGGTAAACAATGTTCATTAAATTCACCTAAAAAAAAAAAATCGAGAACAAATTTTTATTGAAACAATTAAATCTTTCATTAACCTTGTTCATGAAGTTTTTTAACCATTTCCAAACAACATTTATATTTTGCTAATTTTTTTCTCGCACATGAACACTAAATAATACAACAATTGAATAGACTGTTTTTTTTTTAATATTTAAAAAAACATACTTGAATATCATCACGAACAGGACAATTTGCTGGCATTGATAAAATACATGTATATGGACTTGCATGACCATGAAAAAGAAATCGTGGAGGAAATATTTGACCATTACCAAGAAGTACACAATATCTAATCGAAAATTTTATTTATTTATATTTATATTCTATTATTTACTCCATGATTAATTGTGCAGCACGTGTTGCATCAATAACTACACCATTTGACAGGCAATAAGGTGGAATTAGTGACAGATCGACAGTCACATCATTATCGCTTTCATCAAGTGAAAAACCATGTTGAATCATCTTTTAATAAAAAATGAATCTAACATATAAATAATGGAAAAAAAAAGGTACAGACTGAAAGAAATCTCTTTTCAGATGTTAAAATTATTATTTTTTTTTTCGTTTTTTGGTATAATTTCGAAGTGTCCACTATCAGAAGCTATATAAATAAGAGCTCTTCGTTGTTAGACTTTCGAAAAATTTGCGCTACGATATATTCTCCTAATGATAATGATTATTTCTCATTTCAAACGCACTGAGAAAATGGATCATGCATCTTTAACACTGCTAGTTTTCAATCACTCTATTTATGGAAAGAAAGTTCGACGGGGATGAGAATATATGTTTAATCCACACACACTCGACACTAACTCTTCAGTCACTCAAAAGCAATCGACTTAAAAACTTATCTATGATTATTTACACAAGACTGCAAACCTTTTCTATTTCTTCATAGTTTTTATATTCCATTTCATCACGATTATATGTTTCAATATTCGAAGCATCCATAAAAAGAACATACGATGCATTTTGTTTTGCTCTTGCACGACCTTTTGATTGCATATAAGATGAAAAATTATTTGGTTTATTAAAACGTATGACTAAATCACATTGTGGAATATCAAGGCCTAAAATAAATTTTTAACTAAAGATAAAACAAAAATAAAAAAAAAAATTAATAATTTCTTAACCTTCTTCGATTACTGCAGTTGCAATTAAAACATTAATATTAGCTGATCGAAAATCTTTAATAGTTTGACGCTAAAATCAAATAAATAAATAAAAACAAAGGAACGAAGAAAGTTAACTCTTTGCACGAACTGCAAAATCCTACACAAGAAGTTTTAAATAAAATAATGGGAGAAGACAAGATTACTAACAAAGTACGAATTTTGACAACAAACTAATGTCGGTGCCAGAAGTAGATGGAGAAAACTCAAGGAGGAATATCTCCTGAACGGATGCAGCTAGCGACCTGCGGTTTTCACCATTAGAAAGAAAACACCCAGGGGCATCCACACATGATAAAATATAATTGGTCAGCAATGGACCAATCAGATGCATTCTCGATGGAAATGTTGAGCACAGTATTCTGGAGCTGTTTCTCAACTTCGCTCGATTATTATTGTATGTTTTTGATAGAAACAATTGTTCTCTTTCGATCTACGAAAAGCCCGCCTTTCTAGCTTGTTCCGTTCAAGAGTTATAAGAGTTTTCCTGAGCCCCCTGATTTCAGCCAATTGACCTTGAATCACCTAGGAAACAGTCTGGAATGGGGTAATTCATCATGCTGAGTCGAATGGTGATATTTGTTTTTGGATTCGAAACCAGCTTACAATGCTTTTTNATCAGCATGTGAGCACTGCAGAATGTAACACCAACAAACTTGAAAAAGAATTGCCATTCGCTGGAGGAAAAAAATCTGAGGGGGGGGGGGGGGGGCGGAATTCAACAAGAGGAACATCTGAAAATCCTAATTCTGTCGTAGTTCTTTCCCATTTGAATTCGCATACGTTGCTCAAAATGATTAACAAATGCTATATACTGTTGTTGAACAGCAAAACTACTACAGTCTGCTTCTTTCACACGGCCAAACTTCGAATAAGTAAGCGCACGAGATAAAAAAAAATAGATAAAACTTGTATGTCGAAAAAATTCCAGTAGTAAATATTCGAGAAACATCAGAAAAATCGTTGCCGTTGACAAGTTAGAATGAGCTGAACTGTGCCAAATCAACTTTGATAAAGAAAAAGTGATTGACATCAAAGATAATTGGACGATTTAAAATTGTATTGAAATATTGAAACATTCTTAACTGTTCTTTCTGTCTTTCAGTATCGTCATAAAAACTTCCTATATGGATATTAGTATTGTCGTTTTGTTTCATCTCTCGAGGTAATTTCACATGCTTCTGTCAGATGAGTTTTGGATTTGACACATCAATATGATATCGTTGACATCAACACAACTTCATCTTCAAATGTCACACCATATATGCTATTATACATTCACATTTTGATATATAAATACTGTAACTCACATAAGCACATTCTGTTTGAAATTATTATAATGTCGTCAACATCATTTACAATCACCAGTACTCAATTTAGTATCTTTGCTGGTTTACCTATATTTATTTTTGGTATAATTGGAAATCTAATCAATATTGGCGTTTTATTTTCAAGTCTATCAAATTCATGTTCATTTTTATTATTCGTTGCATCATTTTTCAATATTATTGCATTGTCAGCGGGTCTTCTTCCAAGAGTGTTAGCTATTGGATTTGGCATTGATCCATCATTGACTAATCTGATCTGCTGTAAAAGTCGTCTGTTCATTTCATATATCGGCACCATTACTTCTTTAGCATTTATTTGTCTTGCCTCCATAGATAGATTCTTTTTATCATGTCGAAGTGTAGCATGGCGCAATCGAAGTAAGCTGAGCACAGCAAAAATTGCTACTCTTATAACCATTCCAATAATTATCGCCATTAATCTACCATATCTACTTTTCTACACAATTATTACAGTAAAATCTGCTACAGGTAACACTACTACAAGATGTTCTTCCACTAATCCTGGTTTGGTTTTTTATGGAAATTATTTTGTTCGACCTGTTCTTCTCAGTATATTACCTGGTACAATATTAGGTATAAGTGGTTGGCTTACATATCGTAATATTACTTCGATTACTCGTATTCAAATCCGTAGCACATTTCAACGAAGTTTTACTTCGATGATACTTTTACAGATCTTTACAGTTGTTATTCCAATAATACCTTTTGCGACAATGAATATTTACCAAGTTATAACATCATCAATGACAAAGTCATCTTATCGTATAGCGCAAGAAACGCTGGTTCTTGATATATCTAATATTATTTTATATATTAGCTACGCATCAAACTTCTATGTATATCTTATTTCTGCCTCGTCCTATCGTAGAGATTTTATGCGGCTTGTTCTGTTTTGTTATGGTTAACAGCATTGGAACAATCGTATTGGAGCTATGACAAAAGAAAAACTCGCACCGAACACAGCTCCTATGAGCAAACCGATCATCGACCAATTGTTTGAAAAATATTTGAATGATTGACAGTGAACATGAATTTGTCTTGCTTAATGTAAACTTTTCATCAGACTGCATGGTCAATAAACAGCTTGTCCTATTAGATTTTTCAGCTGAATGGCTGCAATTTCGCTTTATATTAATTTATTCTTTCTTCTGGCTGTTTCAATCTGTCACATACCTTCTTTTTTCTTCTCTTGTTAATACAGGTACAAGAGCACTTGTAACATCTCGTATTCGACAATATTTTATCGAAATGAATAAATGACAAAATATCATTCAGTCAAGAGCATATATTTCCTTGAGACTACGTTTGATGAAATTAGAGAAAATGCTACTTGTATTCGAAGGCCTCCTGGTTTTGGCGATCGAACAATATGATACTCAAATAAATTTTCATTCCTATATTGATCTATTCGACACAGGAATATAATTTTAGCAAGTGAATTCTGTTGAATTACTCATCACAATACACATCTTGTCCCTCACCAATTGTGGACAAGGTAACAACAGTAGGAATCGTTAATAAACATTTTAATTATCTCGAAGATACCTCCGATTCATTAGGTTCTCACGATAGTTTTCAACGTACGTATACCGATAAAAGTTGCACGTTCATAGTAAAGAAAATGTTAGAAAATGTTATTTTGCTTGATTCTACATAAAACCATGACAAATCAGAATCCAAATTACCAGCGATTTCTTGTTTTTGGATTGACCTTTCCGTAGTAAAGATACAATCTGATAGAGGAACGATTGCGTATGAGAAAATAAGAGAAGAGACATTACCACTTCGTTCGCCTTATTATCGAATTTCATTTGGAAAATATGATATTTTCTATTTTATGCCTAGCATGCAATCAAAAACACTTTCAGAATAATCTCTACAGAATGAAAATATGAAATATAATGAAGTTATCTCACATAGACATGAAAATTCTTGTCATTTTATTATAAGATGCTAGAAAGTTAAGGGAGCATTGTCTCCAGGAGTCTGTAACTGTCTCTAATCGGGCTATTATTTCGCACCATAAGCATAAAAAATCGGTTTTCTCGATGGTAAAAAATCTATGATATCATAGTTGGACAATCCTGAAATCCTAAATTTCATGGTTCAAAAAGCCATCATATAGAATTGCGACAGGTTTGTCGCAGTCTATGGAGGAGGAGACGGAGAGGTCCAACTTTTTCGCTCTAAAACTTTAACACTCCTTTTCAATTATGTCTCACAATATGCAATGTTGCTCATTTGATTATGCTTCTCAATTTTTCACCTGTCGGCTATTTGAAAGCACGTTAATACAGACCAGGTAGCACCATCAGGATTAGTCATGTCATCTGTTAGAGCTATTCGTCTTTGGTCTAATTTCTAGACTGCCTTCAGTCAATCATATACCCAACGCATACGAAGTCGCCCTCTGATCTGCTTATTGGACGATACTTGTCAATGTCCATTGAACGCCGTTTGAAATGACTTTTAAATGTATCAAACAAGAGTATGAAGATGCAAGTTACACCAATAATCAATGATATCGTATCAAAGAATGCGTCATTTCGAAGTATTAAGTTCAGGGTGTGGAGGTGGGTGTAGATATAGGTGTGGGTGAGGTGAAGACTAAAATTCATGCCTACATCCATCCACATCTTAAATGCTCTATACTGAAAAGCAACTTTGAAATATCACTAGTATAATCTTGACGAGTGATTTCGGTCTGTACATTATGTCTATCTTACATATATTGATTACTGTAGCTTGATTGATATCAGCATTTTTTCGAAAAATTTAACCATTACGAACGATACACTAAGTGCCACACGGTATAGATATGCATTACTAAATTGGAGCTTACCTTGTTTTTTTTTACAATTATAAGCAATAAGAAAATAGACTAACTGAATTCTTCTCGTGAATCATGCATGTTGCTTATGCATAGACTTTCACTTTTAAAAGAGAGAGAGAAGATAAAATTTTCGTTATTGTATTATTCAAGAGAAGAGGAATAATCTTATATATTTAACATGATATGTTAACATATAATGTTAGAAGTGGTAGTTCATGCTCACCATATAAAGATTTGAGCGTCATTTGTTTCCATTTCCTCATTGATCTATTGCAATGTATAATCAAACTAGAGTTAACTTTCTTAAATATGCAGCACAATAAACTAACGTTGGCTCATATAACATAATAATGTTCTTTGCAAAAACCAATATTATATTTGTTGTCAATAGTGTGATTATGGAAAGCTATTCAATATGAGATTTGTTGTAAGTCTATATTTGTTCAACATATCAGTTTATGATAGTATGACTGAAACTAATAAAAAAAAGCTTGCTTTTTGTCCTCATCACAAATTAGTGAAGAATGATATTTGTTTTAACGATCAACCATAGCACTTGGATATTGATGAGAAGATACAGTGAGAATACATCTAAAATCATGATAAAAACTCACTAAAAGAAGTGCTTTTAATTGGATTATTATGCATCTCATTACTTTAACTTCGATTATTAGTAGTAGAAAGTAATTTCCTTGAAATTCATACACAGTAGCAATAAGTAGTGTAGCTAGTACTTTTTACATTAGTAACACATATGCATTGTAATGATCAGCTACTGATTATTAATAAGAGGTAAATACCAACACTTACTATTTCCTGAAAATGAACAAACCGATTATTCACTAGTGGTTGTTACGTGATTTAAATATATTCGATCGCGTATAGATACTGCAGACTAGCCAAACTAACCACTTACTACTCGCTAGCAATAGATGAGTGGTAATAACTACCATCGACTAGCAACAAGTGCGTGATAGAAGCTCTACTTACTGACAATGTTACAATAATATAATTTTTCAAGTTACAAGTCACTTTTTGATAATCATAGCTAAACAGAAAAAAGATCTTTTAAACTCATTTTTTCTGAAAAAGCACGATAATAACGTGTATTTAACGACTTCAGTCAACTTTTTGGAAGATAAACTGTTAAGAGACGTTTCACGTAAAAATGACGTTGATAAACACATTTACATGCGTTAAAACGTTTTAAGTGCTGGGGGAAAAGCATTAAAAGTGAATATATTCACACCCACATTCGCACCCTGGACATAGCATAAACACTGGCTGTACCTTTGATGCAAACCGTATCTCAAAATTCAACTTTATCAAAAATTATACTTAAAGCCATCGTCCAAAAAAAGAGTGTGGATGTGGATAGAGCATTCATCTTGTCCTCACCCACATCCTTAGAGACAAACAGTAATAATTCGATTTTCAACAATATCAACTTGTCTCTCGTATAGAGAATCGTTGAACTCGATGATTCCATTGATCGATTACATAGAGATTACCATATTGATCAGATGATAAACCTCTGGGATAACTCAGCTGCTTTGCTTGTTCTTCTTCATCGTATCCACCAGCTATGACGACTCCTTGTCCGATACCCTTGGGCCAACACATTACTCGATGATTTCCACAGTCGGTCACATAGACTGCGCCCCATGCGTCGACAGTCACTCCTTCAGGACAGAACCGTTGTGCTTGATCATTGCTCTTTTTTCGATCCTCAGTCACGATAGTTCCTTCTTTCGCACCTTTGATCCACTTCATCACGCGCCGGTTGCAACTGTCCGATACGTACACAGAATGATCTTGATCAACAAAGATATAGGAAGGTCGATTGAGTTCATCGAGCCGATCACCTTGTCGTTTGCTACCCGCCACTACTTTTTCCTTCGTCTTTCCCATTCGATATCGTTTCACTACATGCTTTTTACAGTCGGAGACGTAGAGAGATCCTTTATCGTCCATCGCCAATCCCCAACAATCGATATCTGAGAGTACTGTGCTTCCAATTGTGCCACTTCGACGAGGCCATCGCATTACTCGTCGATTTCCAGAGTCGCAGATGATGACACTATCTGTTTCTTTGTCAACAATCACATCTGTTGGTCTGTTCAACTGATCCATTCGGCTTCCTTGGCCATTTCCACCGGCCACTACTTGACCAGTCGTTGCATCACATTTCCATTCCACAATACGGTGATTCATCCCGTCAGCGATCAAGACAGTTCGATCATCTTCCACATAGAGACCACAAGGATAGGCGAGTTGATGAAGTTTATCGCCTCGATTGTGACCTCCAGCGATGGTGTCAGCATCACGTATACATACGGCACTAGGAGATATGCTCAGGATTCCTGCAATGAAAGAAAGGTTCGATTAGGAGACGAAGAAGAATCGTTCGACGGAGTGAAAAGAGGAATTCAACTCTTTAGTTTTGGGATTTTTGAGGAAAAATGGATTCTTCCAAAAAGATATCGAGATGTTCAAAAGTGATGCTCCCTACTGTCAATGATCCATGTTGATCGGGTAAAAGAAATATTTTGTTGAAGACGATTGATTTGATCTCACTATCGACGACGATCATTTTGAGGAGGATGATGAAAGCGAGACATTTCTCTCTGGTTTCGATCTTGATGGAACTCTTAATCCTAGCTCTACTCAGTTCGACACCTTCTTTTCTTGAATATTTTCTCGAACAAAGTCTCAAGATTCGTATCGAAGTATGATTCACGTTCGACAATGCGAATAGAGTTTCAATTGAAACACATCTCTCTCTCTCGCTTAGTAGTGAAAGCGAAAACATCTTTAAGTGAGACATGTACCTGTTGAAGCCAGGTGAGACAAAACTCAATTATCCCATTATGATCGTTGACGATTAAAGGTTCGTTCTTTCAAGCGCAAACATTTCTCGTGAAATCGAGCCTCATTAAACAATATTTTTTTTCACACTAGGAACTAACAATCATTGCATCAAACTTTCATTTCTCAACAGACACTTTTTGACATTTCCACGCGATCAGACAAATATCTCGAACTACAACAAGCACTTGCCATTCGGCAGACGCTATTATTTTTAGTCTCGATCGATTTTTTTACAGAACATTTGCAGAGAAAGATGAATTTCTTTGTTTCATTACAAGCATTAAATGCGAATCTTGTGCGATAAATAACCGAAATCTCGCTGAAAATGAATCACATGATGAGTAGCATAGACAAGAAATGGTTGCAATGTGATCTCGTCATTTATCGAATTGTCGATCAGAAATATCACTGCTACTTCAGAAAAAGAAACAGCTGGAATTGAAAAAATGCAACGATTTTTTCTAATAAAACTAACATCGTGATCGTCGACTTGAATCTGAGTGAAAAAAAAAATTAGATGTCGAAATATCTGTTTTCCCATGAAAAAACTGATTGGATTTGAGATTTCTTATTAAATATATAACGACCATTGAAAGAATTCGTCGTTTTCTTCTTCAATCTTCGATCAAAGCACGGTTCGTCCTGTAGTCATCTTCACTGAATGTAACAAGGACGCAAACGTGAATTTTCGAATCAAATAATTGAGAGAAGAATACGTTCAAAAGAGCGACATTTCATAATCTTCCATTCACTCACCATTTTGTAGCTGATCCTTCTTGTATTTTCGATGCTTGCGATCGATTTCATTGTTCTTGATGGCAATCACTCTGGATTCACTTGATTCATTGACTGTTACGAGCGATAGTGGCAACTGGTTGATAGTCGATCGAATTCGTTCGACATCATCTGAAATTAAATCATCCTTCTGTCCACATCGATGGAGTTCATCGGTCAAATTTTCTTCTAAAATCTCCTTTTCTGGATTGAGCAATTCATTCACTTGATGAACAACTCGTTCAGTTGTTTGTTGAACCTTCTCGATCGCTTTCACCTCTTGTCGATCCGTTTGACAGACAAGATCAATGTGAGCATTTTTCGATTGTTTGACCTTGTCGATTTGGTTGACAAGTACATGATGAGCTCCAATTATTTCACAATTGAGTTTCTTCGATAATTTTTGTTGATGCGCGTTAAAATGGTTGACGCAAAATAAATTTTGACATCCTCGGCACATGCACTCGGCTCCACTATTTTGACATATCGAACATCGATTCGATTTGAGCGCTGTTGTCATTTTTTCTACAGAGACTAAAAATAAAATCATTGAAGAAAATATTGAATAAAATCATCTTACTTCAACCAATGTCTCGTTGGTCGTTGAGAAGTTGAGAATAGAAAGATTAGAATGAGATGAAGAAAAACAAAACTACCGACAACTGTCTCTTTTTTCTACCATAGTTGGTGATTTTGTTTTTAAAAAGAAAAATCTTTGGTCGACTTCAACTTGTTATGCTCTCTTGTTTTCTTTTCTTGTAAGGATGCAGAAAAAAAGTTGAAGCATTAGAATTCGATCGCAAATGCAAGAACGAAAAAGAAAAGCACAACACATTATTGAAATGAATGATCGTCTTATAACAATGACGTAGTTATAGTTGACTTTCGAATCCTTGATTGGCAAACAACAGAATTGCTCGGTGATTAATATGTCAATATCGTTAGATTAACGGATAATTACTGCAAAAGTATGGTAAAAATTGTATTTAGGTTATAACAAAAGTTGTGGTGTTAGTGGATAAAACGCTACAAACTTAATTAAATCAAGTTTTTAATACAACCAGGATTTAATTGAGTAGTATAAGAATCTAAACGAACTTTATTTAGATTGAGGAAAAAACAATTTAACTATCTGATTTTTAGTACAAAGTTCAAACATTTGATGATTAAGAAATATGTACGATATAAAACTTTTGGAACGAGAAAAAAAAAGTTGTTTTTAATGGGGTAACTTGAATTGTATGTTTTCACTTCTTTTTAAGTTTTTCAAGTTGTAGGTATTATTTTTGCCATTTTCTTTTATCTTGAAAAGATTTGTGAAATTCAAAAGAGAAAAATAATAAGAAAAAAACTAAATATGTTTTCGATATAGGACAGACTAGAGACGAAACCGGTCTGAAATTCTGAACGATACTGGTTCCATATCCTGCTACCGGCTCTGCTTGCCACAGGAGATGACCGTTCTAATACTAAAATACCCATCAGTCGACTCATTTTTCCATGTTGATTACGAATCTCAACTTTACTTTTCATTTTAGTTGCATTGAAAAGAAAAAAGATCCAATTTTTAGATGCTTGCTGTCAAAATCCTATTTAAATCTCGCTCATTAGTAAATGATTTTTTCTGAATAAAATTTTTGCCTGTTTATGTGAAAGTACGAAAAAAATCAGTATAAATATATAGTTCAGTTTTTAAATATGAGAGTAATCTTGAAATATTTTTAAAAATCTTTTTAATTGATCGTCGATACGATTTTCGATTTTAGGTTATATTTAACGAATTTTAGTAGTGCAATTAAAACTACATGGTTCGAAAATAGATTGAAGAAGATTTTTATTTTGATTACCATTATCTTTTGCTTTGTCTTAATAACTAGAAATCAGCAGTGTTCAGATTAATCTTTCATTCGATGAAAACGAAACAACATTATTACGAAGTTTAAGAGAAAACTATTCAAGTGTTAAAAAGATTTCTTAACTTTATCTTCAAGTTAATGATGATCAAGGATCAAACGACGCAATTATAATTGATTTCAAATCAGTTGATTTAGCTAAGCAACTTCTAAAAAAAAATGTTATTCTTATTGATGATCAACAAAGTTTCATTGAATCATCAACACAACCATTAATCGTTTTACAAGTTTCATCTAATAAAAAAGACGCAATCTATTGCAAGATTCGAGACATAATTATTTAGGTATCGAAAAATTTTTCGCTTTGATAATAAAGATGGAGCACCTGTTGATAATATTCGAGTGAATTAAAAATCTGACTCTGTTGTCACAAAAATCTTCAACAATATATTCTTATTGATGGTAAATAACATCCTATTCGGCCTTAGTGGTCATTTATCTATAATTCAATTCAAAATGAAAAAGCTCATGCCTTGAAAACTACTCAGAACTCTGAAAAGCAAACCTAATCAAAATTTTGAAGAATCATTTTATCAAAAGACCTTTTTTCTCGTTCAGTTTCTTCTTCGTTCATTAGATCTTTAAACATTACGATATTTTTGTATAAGATATATTCGATCAAAATGATAAAAAAATTGTCATACAATGGGTTTTAAATAGTTTGATGAATATTTTCTATGAAAAAAAAAACTAAGCATTATCAAAAAAGATAATCGTTGCGGAATGGATTGATCAATATAAAATATTTACTATCAAAATAAAATAAAATAAAATTGATTGACTATTTTTCATATATTAAGAATGACATAATTCACTCATTTTAATCACAAACTATATCGAGATTCTTTTAAGATACGTGCCAAAGCACACTGTTTTATTCATGTTTTACCTTTGAAAGTCGAATATTTCTTCAGAAAGTTGTCTAAATACAATATACTTCAATGAAACTGAATTTATTTATAAAATTGAAAGAACGAAACTGATATTGAATGTGCAACTTGCTCATCTATACATGACTCAGATTGAATAAAATGAGTAATCAAAAAGCATTTCCATTGAGTCATGTACATCCGTCAGAATTACTCATCCTAGTCTTAAAAAGAAGTTTTATTTTGTCATCTAAATGTTGACATAACATACAATACAATTCATTGCGCGTGAGTAGCCAAGAGACTGTTTTTTTTCTCTTCTTATTGTTTTCTGTTACGCTGGCAAAATCAACAAAAGTTAGGTTAAGCCATGAAAAAAGGCTCGTCTTGTTCATCGGTATTGCAACGTATTCATGATCAAATTTTTCGAGATGCTCGGAATACGGTAAATGGACACATTTGAAAGATATAGAACAATGTATTCTTTTATTTTGTCGGAATTTTGATACTTCAATGTCATATTCGAGTGTATAATGCATGGAAATGTTCATTTTCAATGAATCTGAATCAATTCCGGACTCATTTAGAAATTCACTATAACTTGTTCGGTTATAAATCATTTTTTTCATTTCGTTGGTTTTTTCTGCAACCTGCGTATGTTCAAATTGAATTGGGTGAAATGTGGTTCATCTCGTTTGAGTCGTCATTAATCTTGTGTATCTATGGTCATTAATTGTTCATCGTTCTATTCAGAAACAAATGAGAAAATCAGATATTGTCTCTTTAG